CTCAAGGCGGGATCGATCGGTCAGTGTGGGAACGTGACAGTTAGAGCTATTGCGCACTTCTGCCATGGTCAGTTGCGGCAGTCGCGAGCAAACAGGCTCAGACAAAACAACAAACAAATACAAATACGAATAAAAAAACAAAAGGAAAACCGAAACGGATCAGAGAAAACAGAGTAAAGATCAGTAACACGGCGTGGGTTTTCACAGGCGCGGGAAGAAGAATGGAATTTGCATATGACCCCTGATCTCCTGCAACAGGGAAGTGCTTGCGAACGCCGTTCGTACGATCAGTCGCGTTTACACGAGGCGGGGAGGCATCCTGACTCCCCGCTGGGCGATCGTACACGATCGTACGCCTGCCTTCGAGGTGGCGTACGCAAATTGCGTACGATAGGTGCGTACGATAGGTGGGGCCGGTTTACACGCTGGAAAAAATGGTCGTACGCAATTGTCGTACGATCGCGTGCGTACGCCATTATCGTACGCCAGGTTTTTGTCGTCGTGTAAACCGGGTCAATGCCATGGTATAACAGAGTTGCTTCCTAGGTGGCTGGGCCAGCTCAAAACATGTCTCAACATGCATGGTAGAAGAATGGTAGTTGATTCACATACAACTTGCAAATGTACATGCATTTTTGGGAGGGTTTTCCAAAAACATATATTTTGAAACTACCAGTACAAATGTATATACAGATGTTTTCTTTTTTCTCAATCTTAGTCTTACAGAATCTTCCTAATGTAAGCAGCTTTCAATAATAAACATTTTGAATTATGCATCTACCACATACTGGTTGCAGTGAAAGACACATGAATTGCTCAAAATTAATATTCAAGCAGGTTATGAATAGGAGTCATTTGACAAGCAATGACCCCCATGTCTGAACTGTCCTGTAGAAGGTAGAATGTTGGTGGTTGTATATTGGTGCAACCACATAACCTAGTGGCACATCTAATCAACAGCAATATCTTTGCAGCCATGCTTCATACAAGGCGCTTACAACAGCACCAAAGGTTTAATTGCTTCCAAGCAATTACGTTTGTATGCTGTTCAATGGGTTTGATCTTGATGTATGAGATAGCACAGATCCAATGATCTAAAACTCAGTGTACTGAAGTGGTCAGTGACAGTAGTATGGTACCTAGCACAGTTTTCTACCCTTGAATGTTTCATCACCTTGCTTGATGGTCCTTGTTCAATGTAAATTAATCTTTGTTAAAAATTTCACCCAAAAAGTCCCCCAGGACAATATATATAGCAGCAGCTGCCAGGTTGGCTGAGAAGAAATGATTCTGAGCTGAATCAATTAGGCCAGACTCTAGTGAGGCACGGGGATTATAAATTACTTCCTCGCCACGGATGCTTCATAGACAAAATAAAATTTGTGGTACTGCTGGGGCCAAGAGGCTCTCCTTCTCCAAATTACAATAGGATTTGATATTTGGCGTCAATACATCATGTAACACTGTGTGCTTGCGGGAGAGATAATAACATGCAATCGGTTTGCTGATCACGACTTTGATCAATAAATCTTTAAATAGAAATGACCTCTTCAGCAAGATGAGTAAAGGAAATCAACTAAACTGGCTATCGCATCTGGGATAAAATACGACGCAGTACTTTTCACAAGCATCGTTTTTCATAGAGGACGGGGATATAGCGTTTTTAATCACCTACCTGTATCTTGGATAATTTTTTTGCGATTTAGGCTTCCATGGCTAGGTTGCTCAGTCTCGGCTTGACCTGCGCTGGTCTACAGCTCAATATAATTTCTGTCCTGCAACGAGAAGAATGTAAGGATAAATACCAGACTCATACCTGGTAAATTCTGGCTTCTGATTGTCCTGAAAACAAAGGTTAACTGCCGAAGTCGGGTTAAATCCGGCAGAAGCAAACATTATTTACACTCACGTTCACAAAGCGCCCCGACTTCAGACGACAGGAAATTCCCCAACCAAATTCGTCCCGAGATATCGGGGCTTCACACCACTCGTACCGTTAGGCTCTCTCGCATATGGCTACGCAGGGAAGCACCAAATATATTCCTGAACCTTTTGGAAAATCCTGCGCCAAACATTCGTTCAGAAAGAACAGGATTCGGATGTAAAAAGCAGACGATACGAAACCTCTCACCTTCCCGAAGAAAGCCCGCTGCCGGAAATACTGTGACGTCATATCCGGGATTACTGGAATCAACCATAAATAGAGAGGGGGGTTTTCGAGTCATGTGTACTTTTCAAACAGGTGTTTTATTATTATACTTACAGTATGCTTATTGATAGAGTAAATCTCTGGAAAGAAGCATTCATTTGGTTCAGAGTAGACCGGAACAATTGTCCAAAAATAGAATACATAATGTTACCATGTACAAAGGCTACATTTTATAACCACTCAGCTATACTAACCTCAGGTGCCAGGTGAAATAAGGTACATGCAAATATAAATCTAAGTATATAGTCCTTGAGTCACCATCTTCAATACATGATGTGCTGTTGGTTGAAACTAAAGTACAGGATGTAAAACCTCGAATCCTCTCAAGACTCCTTTCTGACATTTCATCTGGAGTCCTAATGGTACTGGATGGCACTTACAGGGAGCAGTGTTAATGGGTTCTAATGGAATAAGACAAAGCTGGGCGGTGAAAGGATCACTGCCATACTCTCATCCATCTCAACAAGGTTCGCCAAGGTCAGTCTTATCTGCATCCTGAGACTGGCTTGCATCCTCAGTGTTTCTGTCCTTGGGAGTTTTCATTGATTTTGCCAAGTGTCATTTGGGCATTGTGGGCAAACAGACGATGTCATGTAGTCATTCAAGAGTGACATTTTCTAAGCTTCAGTTACAAAAGCATTTCATTGAAAAGATAATAAAAGCTGTGACATCACAGAGGCTAGGTGTCACAGGTATGAGAAAATAATTGTAAGAGATGCATCAAGAAAAGAGGAAGGGTCAGTATGAAAATATCAGGGATGAATTGAACCAGGATGATTTTTAGAAATAGTTAATTACAAAAGATTGGTATCAAACATCCATAATTTTAGCCTGAGTGTCTTCCTATTTGTAATGGCACCCCAAAACGGTATTACCACAATTTGTCATGGTTCCTCTCTTGAGGAAATACCAATGCTAGGCTAAACAACTTTTGGTCTAGTTCTGTCCTGTTAGTTTGAGATTTACTGTATGCTGCAGGTTAGATACACACTAAAGAACATTTAACGTTATATTCAATTGTGCCAAAAAAAGCTCTTCCTTGCCAGACTTAGTTTGAAAACGGGAAAGTCGCCCGGTTCTGTTTTGACTACAAATAGCAGAAGTGGTTGAAGGCTGAGTAATGCCTCAAAGGGAAGCCCTGGACTTGACTCACGGTATCAGTTACCTTTCTGTGTTGTCATGCCATTAACAAGGTCAGACCATTTCATTTCCCTTGGCAAGGTTAATGTTTACTGTTTATCTTCCAGCATGTTCATCATTAAACCTTCTATCTAAAACATCCACTGAATACCTGCCTTAATTCTAAATGCTGCATTAAACAATATTTTAAAATAAATATGTTTTTATGCTTTGCAGAAGTCAAGTTTTTACAATGAAGAAATTAGAAAAAGACACGTCATTCGTTTCTTTCTTTTGGTTGTTCTGTCTTTGCTCATTATCCTACTGTAAGCATATTTTCTGAAAACATCTTCAGCAAACAACTCCATGAACACCAACAAATCTATCCTGACATTGGGATCATGTACATATGCCATGGCCCCTGTCCAAGCTCACAACATGATCTCCCAAAAGGGATGCCTGCAACATGATATGGTCTCCTGGGAGATACATCACATCACAGGCAGCACAGTGCAAGGCCATTACTGGCTCTGCCAGGAGTCCAACTTCATCTTGCCAAAGTACATTCCCTATTAGTGGTCACTGCCATAACACACTGCAGTACCATGTCATTTTCTATCTTTTATTTTCATCCCTGCCAAGTCTATCTAGTAAAATCATAGGGTGAAATGGAAGGTTTACTTTGTGACAGCTTGGCCAAAGTAAGTTACTGTAGAACTGTAAGTGCAATGGTTCACCAGGCATCCTTCACTGTAAATGTTTGTTTATGCACATTTACTGCACAAAGATTATTATCAAGTTTATAGTTCACTTCCAGGGCATATATTTCAAGATTTGGAGCCCACTCAGGAAGCTGAAACACTGTAAATCCATGTGATACAGGATACATGCAAATGTCCATAATGACACATTTCTCGTGTGTATACTGTACATCTAAATGCTTATTATCCATACACATATGGGATGGCATTTTCTAATTTATTTCAGACCTGCAATTAAAACAAAAATTCATCAAGGATCCACATGCAGCACTTGAGAGAGTGAAAAAGACTACAATAATCTTTTGAATATACATGTACAATGTGCATGTTTCCAACAGTGAGAATATCAGCGTTGTGCCTCCTCCTCCTCCAGTTCTTTGTCAGGCTCTTCTTTAAGACTGGGCTCCTTTTCTTCTTGTAGACTACTGATGTGTTCCTTCTGTGTCTTCATGAACTCATTCCACCTCTGGTGAAAGTCAGAGAAGTCCACGTACGGTTCTACCAAACCGTCGTCATCCAAAGTCAGCGGCTGGTACGATCGCTGACGACGGCGAAACAGCCTCAGCTCCGGACCGCTCCTCTCCGTGTCACTACTAGTCGTTCCCGTCGTCTGGGTGACGTTTGTGTCGGCGACCTCGCTCATGGTGGCTGAGGGCGACTGCTGCGCCACGACTGGGCTCTGATTGGTCGCTGGAGCTACGACCGTTGTTGTAGGTGAGGTTTCGTGCAGGTTGGTGGGAACAGGCTGTTTTGGAGGCATGATGAGTTTCGGGGGAGGCCCTTCGTTTTTGTGTGGTCTGTACGGAACAGAGACTGGGTTATACACCCCTCCCTGGGTGGGACTTGTTAAAGCGTTGGGGAAGGGATGGTTGAAGTTCCTCACAATCAACATGATGTCGGGTCTCTTGGCACACAGGCGCGCGTGGTCCCCTCCCCTCATGAACGTGTCGTGGTGAAGTCTCACCACGCGGTCCACCACGGCCTGGGCAACACTGTTCAGGGTGGACTGGTTCCCCAGTTCTTCAGACACCATGTAGGCCAGGTCTCTGTTCACACTGTCTGTACCGGTACACTTCTCCAAAGACTTGTACAAACCTACCAAGTGGGATGAGTGGTTAAGTCAGATGCCCCTACAAAGTTACTTCATATTCTAAAAACTCCAAAAGTAGCTACCAATAGTAATGAAGTTAGGTTGTTGCAAAGCAATGATAATCATATACAAATGTACAAATTTACATCATTCAGAAAGTACAGACTAACTCTTTGAAGTGTTTCAAATGTGAAAAATCCTTCTTTTCCTTGTGCTATTTATGATACATTTCAGATGGTGTTTAGGTTGATACCGGGGGTAATGATTTACTAATTGAGGAAATGGTTGATGAAAAGTTGTGACTGTTACTCACCATCAGAAAACAGCATGAGGAAGCTGCAGGACTCGTCCACTGTGATCCCTCCCACCACGTCTGGCTCTGCTATCACTGGTTCTGCTGTGGCCACACTGTAGGAACAGATTCAAGCTGAAGTGTCAAAATTACTATCACACGAAATGAACTAAGGAAGGAAACTCTGCAGCTTTAAAAGGTAAAAAAGTTTGGATGCAAAAATAATTTAGCACTAAGTTAATGAAGTTACTGTGATACGTGTACAAGTATGTAGTGAAGGTAACCTTGAAATATTTCAAACTAATTCAAAACTCATAAATATTTGTTACATTAAAACTTTATCACTATGGATGGCAAATTACTAAGTTGAGCTTGACATAAATAATCCAAACAATTGACATATCATAATCGAGCACTTATCTTGTGTTTCAAAAAAGGATACCTGCAGCACAAATGCAAGAAATACATTTTACCAAAGTTGTCAGACTGAAATACTCACCTGTATACATTGTACCTGAAATGATCAATCCTACCTGAGGATGTCAAAGTCCTTGTACCCCCCCTTGAGATGGTAGTTGCCCAGCGTGCGGGTACAGTCCTGGTTGCCCAGACGACTGCCCTGGCTGCGAATCAGGTCCATGTTCAGCCCCAGCTGTGACAGGCGCAGCGTCTCGTCAGGGTTGTCAATCACATGGTCGTTACTCAGCTGGACAACTTCTAGTGATGAGTCAGGTTTGGTCTTACACAGCACGGCCCTGCTGTCTCCTGGGAGACGGGAAAATCATCAACACTTCCTATGAGCATGAAGTACACGTTTGTTTGCTAATATACATTGCACATTAATGGTGGAGGACTGTCAGAGGTAGAAGAAATGTTTTCAAAGCTGTATTGCAGGATTGGCAATTGTAGTCAACTAGTCGCTGTAGCATTTATCTACAGGTATGTCTGGATCTAGTAAATTGACATCCATTGTGAGGTATTAAAATCAATTACGTTGTAACGTTACATGAAAAGGGAACAGAAAACTGAGGATTTCCTACCTGCATTTGCCACATACAGTTTGCTGTTGAGGATGAGTGCTACCACAGCTGTAGTTCCACCTGTGATCTTCTCATCCAGGGCATGGAGTTTGTCCACCAACTGTGGGTACTGCTGGTACACCTCGTAGTCACTCATACCCTGTAATATTCACATATAGAACTTCATCACTATCCTTATTGTAAGCTTATGGCTATCTGTAGCTACAGGGTCAGAGTTGCAGCAATAAACTGTATTTTTGTATTTTTTATTATGGGAGATGGGCCATTGTATACATTTCATCAATGCTCAGCTGTAGCAACTTGAGCAATTACATGTTAAATCGTCTTGAATAAAGATAGCTGAATACCTTCAGTTTGTAAAAAATGATATATAGAATGTTACCCATATCAACTAACCAACACATGATAATGATGAAACTAAAACCTCAATACAGCACTAGTATTTTCAATATCTGTTTCCAAATAAATAAATGGCGAGCCTGATACCCTTAGTTTGTATCATGTTGACCCACCTCTGGAAGCTCCAACTGAAGTGTAGTTTTCTCACACAGGTAGTCATCAATGGCTTCAAAAAATGCCTTGTCTACAGCCAGGAAAGCCTGAGCATCAAACAACACAGTCAATCATTACAATATAATGATATGTGATAAAGAAAAATCACCACTTGTCATAGTTTCTGCCGACTCCTAATGTCAGTGGCTAGCAACATTAGGAACTGGCAGAAACTATGGAGGATGACACCCTGGCTAGTCATATGCATCTATCCTGGGTAGGCTTACATGATAACAGATTATCAATGAACAAGGGGTAAAGAAATAACATTTTTATCTGGACATTTTGTGGATAAAATCAAACTTGGATAGGACACCTATATATAGCTACTTGTAGTGGTAGAATATTATGATGATTTAAGAGTGTCCCCTACCTGAGGACAAGTAACACACCCTTACCTGGTGTAAGGCCATCTTGACATCTCTGTCTGTTTGGATTTTGTCCAGCTGGCCCAGCAGTAGTTCTGCCGGCATGCGCTGGGTGGCAAAATCTGAGGCTCGGTTCCCATCATGCCCATCAAACACACCGTACAGGTACACGTCACTCTCATGTCTGTCAACAGAGAAATAAAAGGTACTCATGACATCTCATTATCAGAAGACTGGCAGCAAGGACATACCATATCAGCATGCTTAGCTATGGCCGGATACATGATTTTCTGATAATAGAAAGCAAAGAAGAAAATACCTTGGAATATTTACCAGGAGCAATGAGCTTAAAATCTAGAAGTGAACTTGCTTCTTTTTCATTGACTTTTTTTTCAAGATGGAGATTTCAATTGTTAATACTTTCAAATTCTCTCATACAGCAAGAGTGTTCCAAACTTCCACTAAAGTTCTTCACCATCCTATTATTTTTGTAGGACAAACAAGTTGTTTGTTTGTTTTATTTTCAAATAGTTGGAACAAGAATATTTAGCTCACCTGAAATGGAAACACCTGTCCTCGAACGGGTGTTCCTCCTGCCTGAGCCCGTCCAGCCTGTAGGTCTGGTTAGTGGAGGACCCCACACCTGACAGTGGGCAGACTGGCAGGTCGTCTGTCCAGCTGGGAGCATGGCCCTAAAAAAATTATACATCACCTTTACAATCAACTAAGAACACGTTATTTTATGATGATGAATATATTAGATATGGACAGGTACTAGGTGAAGTTACCTGACTGGGAAAATACTGGAACGAAGCATACAACAGATTCAAAATTGATATGAAAATATGTTGATGCCAACTTATAAGTTATCTATCACTGCACTGCACCATGAGTGAGTAGTGTTGTTTTTCTTGGCAGACATGGTATACAAAGCTAGAGATGAACAACAACAACACTTCATGATCATTTACATGTATTACACGTTAACGTTAACGTTATATACACTGTCTCTTACCAAGCCACGGGGTGTGGCAGATCCCGAGGATAGGGTAGAAGATGTACTGGCTCGATGACTCGTCATTTCTGGTGATTCACTCCAGGTTATCTAGCAAAAGGACCCCAGGAGGAACTGGTCCGGAGGAACGACTTCTCCCTCCCTCAGTCCTAGATGAAAGTTCAAAGGTTAAGTATATCCCGTGCAGAAGCGACATCTAGTGAGAATAATACGAGGTGCAGTAATCAAAGCAAATGTGGACGTTTCCACTAAAATACAGTGATAGTGCTAACTGATGGAAATCTCTTTGAACTCACGTTATAATTGCTCTACATAACAAAACGCTACAGCTATAGACAAAACAAATTATAAAATACTGCTTTATGTGTTTTATTTACATCGATATCTGTCTTTATAAATATATTTTTGTTTACTAGTCAACCCTATTCTGTCAGTGTACTGTTCCAAGGAGACAAGGTCAGAGGTCGCTTGAAAGGCGCGACAAACATGCGCGAAAGTTCGATTTGTGTGTTGTTGCTGCTAGAAATTGAAATTATATGGTAGTTTATCTTAGTATGATGGCCTCGCTTAGGACGGAGGTTCTATCGATCTACAGGACAATACTGAGGACAGCCAGAACTTGGAAATCGCTGTCAGGCAACCAGCAGGAGACCCAGGAAGAGGCGAAGTACATCAGAGAAGAGGCGAGGGCGCTCTTCAAGAAAAATAAACACGTAAGTACATGTACTTAAACGATAACGATTTTGATTCCAAGACTTGACCTTTTGATGTAAGAGTGAGTATCGTCTTTTTAAATCTCCCTGAAAAAAACCCAGAAAGGTCCCCAAGGACAGAGTAAATGTACTAGCAAGGACATTATAATGTATAACGTTACTGTATACATGTATGCCTATGGATGTGCATTCTCTCTTGCAGCTTACAGATAAGGAAGAAATCAGACTATGTATAAGAGAAGCTGAAACTAGACTTGAATTAGGTAAGTGATAGACTACTAGTATCTTACTGCAATGAGCACTGATTTTATTGTAACAAGTACAATTAATGTACATGTATGTGTCATATCCCTTTGCATGTGCATTGGGTTTCAAAGCAATAATATATCATATAATTTTCTTTCTACCCACAGCACATCATTATGGGATTCCATATCCAAGACCAGTAAGTATAGCAGTTGTTTTCTTCTTGGCAGCTGACATTTACTGGTTCTATTGACCACCTATATATAAAGACCACCTGGTATTTGGTGGTCCCTCAGATTAATATCTATGGAGTATGGACCTGTTTGATGTTATTAATTGTCACTATAGACAGGTTTGACTGTACACGTTCTTACTTACCTTAGTTTGCCATGCCCCCTACTGACCATATTCAGAAGTACAGTTTCTAAACCTACCATAAAGGAGTTCAAGTGATACTAGTAATGGATCATCTATTCATGGATCATGTTTCAAGCCATGGCTGTACATTGATATGTCAATCATATGAAGAGAGAATCTGAGATATTTGTCTGTTTCCAACACTCATTCCAGGTGAACCTGCCTCCCATGGGCCTGGGAGGACCTCAGAGGAAAGGGAAGAAAGTACAGGAGAGACTCAGACACCAGGCCAAGCCAGTCTACCTACATTCCCATGAAGAAATAGAAAAGTAGACATCAACACAGCAAACTGTTCTTTATTCTTGCTTATGTGCTGTCAGCAAAAAACTCTTAAGATATAGGTGTTGACAATGTTTGAGTAGTACAATATGCAAATTAGAAAGCCATGTTGCAATTTTGAATTGTACTCACAGCCCAAATTACTTTGTTAGTCTGCCTATTTTCATAGATATTGTAGTACATCCCTTGATTCATGATCATGTGCTCATAGCAAAATATGAGTCAAAATAAATTTCTTTATCTTGAGCAGCAGTTATGTACATTACAAAATAACCCTTACAATGTAAAGGTGGTCCACACTTGTTGAAATCCAAACATACTAAATTACGGAAACAAAATGTGACTACATGTATTATACAAAGGGAGGACATGTTTGTACCACCAAAGCAAGTCTGCCCGCTAGATCAGTAAAATAAAGAAAACAATGAGTTTCAGGATGTCCGAATATGGTATAAATCTTTTTCTTGGTTAAGTAAAGAATATAGTGTTACATACATGTATGCAAACTATGTAAAATTCCAAAATGCACACTAACATAACAAACTAACATGAGATCACAAGACAAGGTCTGGTGATCTTATGTTAGTTTGTTATGTTATTGTGCATTGTCACCAATAATCAGTGCAGTCCCACTGGTGGCACTTTGTTATCAACACTATTCTAGACTTCAGTATGTAACATTACATGCCATTACACATGAGAAAACAGAAGGCTATTGTGCACAAGCCTCCCTCAAATCGTTTACTGATATACATAAAGTCACTCACACAGATTAACAAGTAAAATCTATATATAAGTAAATCTACGCACAAAGTCACAACAGTATGTCCCATTTTGCATAGTATCTGTTTCACTTTCTTGCGATTGACAGTAAAAAGTTGCAACCATTCAATTTTCATCCCATTGGGCCCAATGATATTTCACACCTGATCAGGTGTTTTGGGCATCAACTGAACTTCCAACGATGTTGCCAAGTCGTTGCTACCATTTTGTTTCAGTGCCTTGATCAGACACTTCACAGCTTCCTCCCCGCGTAGAAAGCTGAGTAGTTTTTCATTCTGGTCACGTTCTGTCCGTTCATGCTTTATTTCCTCCTGCATTTGCAAGGTTAGAATTCCGTCTTGGATAAGGTACTTGGTGAGGTCCTTTGCTCTCATGTTGTCCACAAGGTTGACGTAGTTTTTGGTGATCGCCCTCATCCATGGCTGACAGAGTTGATCATGTCCGTTGGCACCTGTATGGTGAAGATAGACAGATGTATGTGAGTTCTGTTCACACCTGAATAACACACTATCTGGTATATTGTCTGTTGTTCCACTTTCTGCAAGAGTTAGAACTATAAATAGAAGTGATCTGGCTCAACCTCAAAAGATATTGGTAATGTTGAATATGTTAAAGCATTTTGTAACCAGATTCGCACACTTCAATGTGCCTCGTGCTGTCATGGTACCTTACTTACAAGGGTGATGATGCTGATGATAAGCAAAAGAGAAAGGGTTGACAGTAAAAAAAACAAAAGTGTTTACCTTGCAGCCAAGCTGCTGCATTCTTCCTCTTTTTGCCTCCTACTTTCTGCCACATCTTCCTAACAAAGAATGTGAGGACAAAGATTGCAAGCACAACAACTGCAACCATAACCGTCAAGACAATCATCGGCTGGGACAGCCATTCTTGACTGCCTGACTCATCTTCTCCAGTTGAGGCAACTGGAGGTTGGTCCAGATTGGGAATGGATGATATCTTAGGTTTCTGTGGAACCTTTGTGGTAATTGGGATGGGAGAGGTTGAACTGTTTGGCATGGGGTTTTCCTGCACTTGTTCAGGGGTTTCCTTGGGATTTCTGACATCTAGAGTAAAAGTTTCAGTGATACGTCCCTTTTCATTTTCAGCAACACAAGAATATTGATTAGAGTCTGCTGGTTCAATATTTGCAATAGTCATGATTGTGCCTTCACTAAGGAATGCAATTCTCCCAGCTAGTGAAGATATATTTGAAACTTGCTCTCCATTTCTGAACCAGGTGATAGTGGGTTTAGGTAAGCCCGTGGCAACGCACTTGAAGAAGGCCTCCTCGCCTGGTGGGAGATTTGTATACTTCTGTGTTTTGTCAGTGATGGAGGGTTTTTCACACTGAAAGTGTCGAGAACGGAGATCTGTGATTTTCCTGTGCCTGTTCTTGGATTTCACTTTACATGTTAAGCTGTGCCCAAAATGAATTTTATCATTGTTTTTGTTCAACCATTTTTTGAAGTCATACATTCTACAGTCACAGCTCCAAGGGTTGCCAGCAAGGTTTAGTACACATTCCTGGCTCAAAGGATCGAAGACATTTTTGGGAAGGGTTTCCAGTTTGTTATTCTTTAGACTCAGCGTTTTTAACTTCCCCAGGCCCTTGAAAGCCCCCTCCTCAATAGTTACAATCTTTGCTCCTTGGATTGTCAATTTTATCAGGTCTTGCTGATTGGCAAAACATGATTTTGGGATGTTAGGAATTGAATTATGACCCATAGAAAGGCCTGTTAAGGTGGTTACTCCATGCTGCGAAGGGCAAAAGAGGTCTAGGTTGTTCCCAGATACGTCCAGTTTCTTAAGTGCTGTGCTGAAATTAAAGACGTCTCTGGGAAAGTGCTCTATTATGTTCTGCTTTAAAGACAGAGTTTCCAAAACATCCAGCCCAGCAAAGGCACTTTGATGAATCACTGAAATATTGCAGTGAGATAAATCCAGTATCAGCAGGGAGGACAGGTTTGCAAAGCTGTATGCAGGGATGGAGTGAATGAGATTTTCCTTCATTATCAACTTTTCTATTGACTGCAGGGATTGAAATGCCTCTGGGACATGTTTCAGCTGATTTCCTGACAGTGACAGCGTCACCAAACTCCCTAATGTGTTAAACGTATTTGATGTCACATGTTCGATTTTGTTGTCTGACAAGTCCAGAATTTCTAATTTGCTCAGAGGACGGAATGGCTTCCTGGACAGCTCAGTTAACTTGTTTCCCCTGAGGTGGAGGACTTTAAGAGATGGGGGAAAGCCATGCTTGGAAAGCTTTCTGTATTGGTTCTTGTTGAGGAAGAGCTTTTCCAAATGTTCTGTATGTTTGAAGGCCTTTGGTTGGATACCCTTGATTTGATTGTTAGAAAGGTCAAGCACCCTTAAGCTGTCCAAACCCTTTAGTGAATTCTTCTTTATCTTGCTGATTTTGTTCCCTGCCATGTAGAGGTGGGTGAGGTTGGAGAGAGATTCGAGAGATCTTGGTATAAGCTCTGAGATGGTGTTGTTTTGTAAGTCCAAATGAGTCAACTGTGACAGATTTTGAAGAGCTGAACTGTTGACACTGCCAATGCTGTTGTTTTGAAGATGTAGTTGTTTCAGAAAGATGCAGTGGTTAAGTCCAGCTGGGATGACAGACAGCTTGTTCCCCCCTAAATACAGTGCCCTTAGTTTTGGCATGGCCAAACAGATGTCACCCCTGATCTCTCGTATCTCGTTGTTGGAAGCATCCAACACCTGTAGGTGGGACAGACCAGTGAACATGTTCTCATCCAGGACAGAAAGACTGTTGTGACTAAGGTTCAAGGACAACAGCTTTCTTTGCCAATTAAAGGTCCCAGGTCCAACCTCTCTCAACCCATTGTGAGCCATGGTCAAGTGGGTCAACAGCTTATACTTGCTGAAACTGTTGTTAGAAATATTTAGCATTGTGTTCCCCTCCAACGTGAGATGGGACACTTGCAGAGGTATCTGACTCGGCACCGTCTGGAGTTGAGTGTTGGAACAGTTGACCTTGTTGTTTTGACTGCATGTGCAGATGTCTGGGCACATGTGCGGTGATGCAGCTACCACAGACATCAGGCCAACAAACAGCAGCATGACTGTCATCTTTCTGTATCTGCAGAAAGTAAAATACAATTAAAAAAACATCAGCAGGCCTTTTCCCCTAGAAGCTTCGCAATGCTCTATATTTTCCAATAATCCAGGATGTAACAGAAAGCTCTGTTAAAATATGTGATTACAACTAGATTACAGCATGCATATCATCATTTTGCACACATAATAAAAACAACTTGATCTACCAGTATTCTTGTGGGCCACCCGAATGTCTTAAACACATAGAAAATATAAGAAATCTCTTATATATTTAAAGTAACGTTTCAGATCCCAGCAATTATGTTTTTGATCAAAATATTTGTAGATGTGCCCAAATTTCAGCCATATTACAGCTTCCTCGGGAATTCTTGTCGCAAGTGGCCGCACGCACGGCCGCACCGTGCACGCTACTTTTTGTCGGGCGGTATGCAGTTGACACGGCCGGCTTGACTTGTCCCGTCCCGCTCCGACAATACGTGTACCCAACATTACAAAAGAAAAATACCATGAAAGAGGTAGCTGTATATGGCCTCCCTTTCAGAACGTACTAGTATCCGCCGTGACAGTCTCTTATAATGGCATTGCTATCCTATAGCAGGCTTCAGTAAGAGTAAACATTGGACAACTTTTATTACATGCCAGGAGAACGCTAAAACGGGTCATTAGTACATCCAGGTTAAAACTCGGCAGACATGTTGTCGTTCTCATTGTTCTTTGTTCTCAAGTTGTTCTCAGATTGACCAAGTTGTTAAAACAACTTCCCCTTTTCGTTTCTCTCGAATACGGTAAATATACTCACCCTGCCATACCGTTCCTGTTTCTGAGGAAATGTTGACTTCCTTGGAAAGTTGTTAGAGGTGAGAATTGGATCAAACGAAGGCTAAGTTAGCGGTACCGGTTTATAGTTGCACTTCGATGTTCGTAGCCGAGCTCAACAAGTCTACCGCGCTATGACGACTACTAGTCAGGGGAACTTGGAGGGGGTTCCCCCGCCTCTGTGTTTTTCTCCGCGTCATGTGACATGAAACTTAATCTGGTCAGGTTCCACAATGTTAGTATCGACTACCGTACAGAAGGACAAGGAAATGTCTCAATTTTGATAGTTATTTATTTGAGAAGAAATACGGTAAGATAACATTTTATTATACAAGACGGCGAAACTTTACTGAGTACGTGATGTGCACCTGCTGAATCGGCCGCGCCAAGTTCAGTGCTCGTTTCCGGTCGTTTTGCAATTTAGAGCAAACGTTACAAGTAAGTACGCTTGAGCTTGTTCATACATAATACAGCTGCTTCACTCGATTATATTGATTACTACTAGTAACTAGTAGCTATGACATGAGTGTCGTTTGTCTGCGAACAGTTCACATGCGCATATGCGGGAGGGCACAGGTGACGTCACTGGCAGTCACGAGCCCGAAAGTTTCAAATTGATTCCACTGTAATGGATTAAAAAAGGCTCGCAGAAATTATTAAAGTGCAATAAATGAGCCGCGATTTTCAAAATGCACAATGTATTGATAATTCTGTAACAGTAAGTTACTAGTACATTTTGCACCAAGGGGCAATTTGTTAATTAACCCCCCGACAGGTGAGTTGGTCCGACCGAGGTCGACTGTAGGGGATTATCCACGGTTTCGGTTGCATCAATACCTGTAGGGGATTTCAGATGGTTTCCATCTACGTACCAACAGTATTATACGTAATGTTATTCCACTTCCCAATAACAAGCCTGGCGACCAAAGTGCTGTGTTACCGTTCTTAAGTGGGTACGCTGTTGCTCTGTAGTTGCTTATCATTTTTTCTCTGTTTTAAAATCTACAGGTGCAACGTTAAACTATAGCATCAACATGTGGCGTGCGGGCCTGAACTTTCAACATAGACAGGTTAAACTCAAAACCAGGGTTTCTATGGACACCTCGGATCCCTCGATTCAACATCGAGTGTTAGCCCACGTCAGGAAAAGTGTCAGAGCCGTCGACGTTGTTGGTAAACCACAGACCACGTACAGCGGGGAAACAGCGAATGTCGACTTGACGTTAGCATTTGAGCAAGACCCTGAACAATTCTACGCCAACTTAAGACAAGCGTGGTGCACAGATCCACCCGACATCTCAGGAGATGAGAGTTATCCATGGCTGACAACAAATAATGGAATGGTACTTTCAGACAAGGGGAGAAAGGCCGCAACACACGATGTCATTTACAAAGGTTTCTCTCTTGGTGCGTTCCGTGGAAGAAGCACGTTTACTTGCCACTATGAAACACGTGATGAAATGTCTGAAAAGCAGTTGTCATTTGAGCATGATAGGAAGGAATTAACAGTGTACTTTCGCGAAGCCTCACCAAATGTTTTCACTCTCGATGATGAGTATGTACACAGGATGAATATCAGTTACAACGACTTGGAGAAATACATATTAGTGACGGAGAGGAAGACCGAAACTGCAATGTATCTGTTCCTGAAGCACCGGGTGAAGGTAGGTACAAAGGGATTTTTAGTTCAGTCAGTTTAGTTTAGTTTAGTTTAGTTTAGTTTAGTTTAGTTTAGTTTAGTTTAGTTTAGTTTAGTTTAGTTTAGTTTAGTTTAGTTTAGTTTAGTTTAGTTTAGTTTAGTTTAGTTTTTAGTGCAGCTTGATTAGTCGAAAGTTGCAATGCCACCAAGTTATGAGTGGCAATTACAGTTTAAACTTGCTCCACAAGTTATCTAGATGACTCGGAAGTGGAACATAAAGCTTTCATTCGCTAGAGGTTGAGAGCACAACCTTGCGGAGTGCCGTACAATGCAAACGTCTATTATCGCCAGGCTAGGCGCCTGCCATGGTTTCGCTTGGACCAAGGAGGTTGATAGCCTGGGTGCCATCCTCCGTAGTTTCCACGGCACCGGCTCCCTGATGTCGCTGGGCGCCACGGACAGCGACATCAGGGAGCGGGCGAAAACTACGGAGGATGGCACCCAGGCTAGGAGGTTTAAACTCCTTGCTTGGACCGACAAATATAGCCAGTACAGTGGCGGTGATATTCCAATAAACGCATGTTGATTATTTGGCTGACAAGGACTATATTCTTGTTGTGAAAGAGTGTCTGTATATTTCTTGTAGATAAGCCAAGCCTCTGTTCTGCACTTGGCTGACATGAACGACAAAACGGTTTGGACCCGCAGGACAAGCCTTCGCCTATGTCCTTCTGGGGTTTTCGGTAACGCTTCCTGCCTGAAGCTGGTTATCTTCAATGAATCCCGTTGGAATAACATCACACATCAGATTCTCAGTCGGCTGTGCGGGAGATGTGGCTTCAAGGCGCACTACCTGTTCACACGTGAAGAGAGAGCAACAACCACGCCCCCTGCCGAGCCTAGGCTGCAGGGCTTTGCCGCAGTATACGCCATGCGGGTTGTCCTGTCCAGAGGTTTCTCCGCACGAGATCAGATGACCCCAGAGCTCTGTCTCAAATTGGAAGAACTCGAAAAGGAAAAGGGGGAAGATGTCGTTGCGGATGTTCTGTATAGGATCGTTCACATTATGGACCAGAACAGGTAATAATGGACTAATTATCTCACTCCCTAATGATGATCATAATCCATATACTAGTAGTCTCAGCAATTATGATACGTATCATATACTACATATATCGACTGTCATAATATCATATACAGTACATGATAAGTAATGATCAGCTGTATGCAATGTTGCATTCAAGTTCGTGGTAGCCATGAGTGCAGGTCAAAAGGCTTTCATATTTCCATTTGCACATGTCCAAACTTTTGAGATCTTTTGGAATAAAACTTAACCCCGTGACTGCAAAATCTATCAATGTCCGTCAGCAGTTCAAGATTCTTCGGCGTTTGTTGCTTTTACCTTTCTCATCGAACAGGTTTGTAGATATATCGAAAGCATTTGACGGACTCCTGGCCGCCAGTGACATACAGCTGGGTTCCCAGAAGATGTCCCTGCCGGCAACTCTGCGCTTCGTGCGCCGGGTCATCGTCACACCCACCACTCTCTTCTTCCTGCAACCTGAAATCATGTTTGAAAACAGGTGAGCTTAACGACCTGACGTGAATACATTTAGGTTTGTCAAAAGCTTTTGATGTAACGTTATGGATTTTGTTGATCAAAAGACGACAGTTTAGGGCCTTTGGAAAAAGATCGACGTTTCTGGATTTACCGCGTATAAAATGTATGAACTTGTGGTCTCTCTAGTCATTCACTACTATTTATGGCAGGATGCTACGTGACTACGGCGAGGAGTTCTTCCTCCGGGTTTCCTTCCTTGACGAAGGATTCCAGAAGCTTCAAGGTGGAGTAGCGCCGGGTAACCCTTGGAAGGATGAGGACATATTTGCACGCGTGAGAGAGGTGCTTCAAATGGGGGTCGCGGTCGGCGACAGGTACGTATCGGTCGATCATATGCAAGTTTTGCTACTAACGTTAGTATATGTAGGTAGTGGACTCGACGATAACGATATTTTCATTAGTATATAGTACATGTACTAATATATATATACGTAAAAAGGCGCAACAGTATCCTCCCACCATATAGTGCGGCCAAACGACGCGCGAGTGGGCGACCGGGAAGCGAAGCTGCAACTCAACGAAGGCCAGCTTCAATATTCACGGCATTACGGACTGAAGAACCATGTTGTAGTAACCCGAGTGGTGTCCAATAGTTTTAAGATTTACAAGTGCTATTTTTATTTGTTTTTAATAGGCATTACAGGTTCCTCGCGGCGTCTAACAGTCAGCTCCGGCAACACGGAGTCTGGTTTTTCGCGGATGACGGAGAGAACACAGTGGAATCTATCAGGGCAGGGATGGGGGACTTCTCCGGGTGTAGGTATATGTCACTCTCAGTTGTCTTGTTGTTGACAACATGTTGCAACGTACGAATCGATTTATTTTCAAAGGGATCTAAGAAGAAATATCTATTCATAGCTTAGAATACTTTATGAAGTAAAAAAAAAGGTGCATGGTTATGGAATAAGAATTCCTTCCATGTTTTTTTTCCTCAGATGTCCAGCTACCTACCTCGCCAGGATGGGTCAGTGTTTCTCCACCACAGAGCCTACAGTTACCGATGTTGGGAACAACGCGTTCGAGATCTCCGACATCACAGGTGGTTACGATCCAGTCAACTGCAAACCGTTCTGCTTTTCGGACGGAATTGGGAAAATTTCTGAAGACCTGGCAAGAGAGGTTAGTAGTGTAGATATTGTCAATCGTGCATGCCGGCGGCGCAGACATATGCATGCGAGGAAAAGTCAACAGGTAAACCAAGGAGTAAACTGGGCTATAGTCGATATTCGTTAGTATTCAAACAGAGATTTAGGCTTCGGCTTATTGCTCACGGTTCCGGCGAATTTTTTATTGTCTTGTCAATTTGATACTGCCTTGGAGCAAAAAAAAAGATCTGCTGGGAGATTAGACATTCGTATCAACAAGGATGTATCCAACACAGGTTCTACACGTGACAGCTAGTTTTGTCAGGATGTATCGGCAGTCAATATCAGTTACATTATAATTGCTGACGGCCCTTCACGGTGATATTTCACCAGGTGAGCAACAGAACAGGCGATAACCAGAGGGTTCCGTCAGCCTACCAGATTCGCTACGCAGGTGTGAAAGGGATGCTGGCCGTAGATCCTACCCTACAGGGTGAGATCATGCAGTATCGCAAGAGCATGAACAAATTCCGCTCACTACACGACGTCATTGAAATCTGTGCAACGAGTCACCCAGGTAATAAAAAAAACTTGCTGTTGTTGTATTTCCTACGCAGTGGCCATTCCTGCTACAGTTCAGTTCTGCTAGTCTCTCGGTAGATACCAGCAAGATTCTGAGCGAGCAACAATCTGTACATTTTGCATGTTTTTTCTCCTTCCAGGGCGGCTGTTTTTGAACAGGCAAGTCGTCACGATCCTCTCTCAGCTTGGCGTTCCTCACGTAGTTTTCCAAGAGCTCCAGGAGCAAAGGCTGTTTGAACTTGCTGACATGTTTCTGATGGAAACGAGCGCGGCTGAAGCTCTGTCTCAGCGGGCACAGATGAAGGGAACACCGTACAAACGGCTCCTGAAGATGGGCGTCCAGCTCACCACAGAGCCGTTCTTCCACAGTATGCTGCAGAAAATTTACAAGAGTACCGTGGGTACGTACGATGATGTTTAAATATATTGTCGTTTGTAATGTAAGAGACGCCAATGTGTTTGTTTGTTTGTTTGTTTGTTTATTTTGTTGCTGATTTGGTGGTGAAAGTCAACCATTTTTGAGCTGGATCATGTATAGTGACGATCCCGTGTGCTTTCTCATACTTAACAGGGGACATCAGAAGGAGAGCCAGGATAGGTATCCCACCAGAATATGGCCGCAACATGTTAGGTGTTCTGGATGAGACGGACACGTTAGAGTACGGACAGGTCTTCATCCAGTACACCGCAGACATCGCAAACCAGGACGACGAAGTCCGCGTGCTGGAAGGTGAAGTGGTGGTGACGCGGACCCCGTGCTTACACCCAGGCGACGTGCGTAAGTTCCAGGCCATTGACGTTCCCGACCTGCACCACATGGTGGACGTCATCGTCTTCCCCTCCAAAGGACCGCGACCGCATCCAAACGAGATGTCGGGAGGAGACCTGGACGGAGACGAGTACTTCGTCACCTGGTATCCAGGTCTGATATTCAGCAGGCCGAATGAGCAGCCTATGTATTTCAGATCGCCTAACAAAAGAGAGGTCTCTGTGGTCACTATAAGTCATCTCATCGACTTCATTGTGGATTACATAAAGAACGACAGACTTGGACTCATTGCAAGCGCACACCTTGCCTTTGCAGACACCGAGGGCATGGGAATCTTTTCTGATGTGTGCAAACGACTGGCGGAAAAACACTCTGACGCTGTGGATTTCCCAAAGACAGGCGTTTGCCCAAACTTAGACAAGACAGAGCGGCCGCTTCAATATCCGGACTTTATGGGGAAAAGAGACAAGACCACAAGGCAGTCGGAGAGAGTTCTGGGCAAGATGTTTAGGGAGTGTCAGATGATCGAAAATGTCTGCACACAAGTAGAGCGAAGGGGAAATGTTGTACGGGTGCGTCCTGACGGCGACTTGGTTGTGAGAAATTACGTTAGTTATGTAGAACAGGCCAGGCAAAGTAGAGACAGATACAATGACCAATTGCGGTCATTGATGGCGCAGTACGGAATCGAAACGGAAGCAGAGGCAGTCTCTGGTTGTATCGTAAAACTACACAAGCACATGGAGGACAGATACGAAAGGTACGAAATCGAAAGAGTTGCAAAAGTCCGCATTGAAGATCTACGGAAAAGAACGCGTCAAGATTTCTTTGAAGAGTTTGGGGGAGAAGATGCTATCGAGTTGAATCACCCCAATATTTTTGGGAAAGCCTCCGCGTGGTACACTGTCACATACTCCGACCCAGACACAAAACTACTCAGCTTTCCCTGGGTCATAGGTGACATACTAGGCATTGTAAAGACAACATCGACTGCTAGGATTGCCTTTTCGGAGTGTCCAGTAATCGACAATATCACGCATCAACTGACAAACGTCTATTCATCACAAGACTTCATCACCGCGACCATACAGACTTTGAGTAGATACTTTGTAGACAAGCGAAGGACACACATGGTTGTCCAAATGTACGTAGGCTGTTATGCTAACGTACTTCCTTTTGTTGCTTTCTTGCATCAGTGGATAACAGAGCATAAGCTGACACAGGTTCATAGCTCAGACTTAGTTTTCATCATGCTGACAGATGCAGTCGAAGCCGGCTACATGGTCGACTTGGGAGAAGCTCCCAATGGAGTGACGAGAGAGTGGCTCAGTCTTACCAGAGAAAATGTCATCTCCGTAAGAACCATCGTGGAACAGTGTTCGTTTGAAAACAGCTTTAGCTTGGGTGAACTCTTTGTCAATTTCTTCAAGTACATCAGTTCCCACGCGTTTAAGGAGTCGACTGCCCATCTAACGATGGGAGGAGCGCACGTCGTCTTGGAGGAGGCGAGCAGGCGGAACATCCAGAGGGAGGCATTGTGGACGTACCATCTGCTGTCTCAAACGGGGGACATCGGAGAGGTCGTCGACACCGAGGCTGTGGATGCCGAGGAAGACTTTGTGGCACAGATACCCCCCAATGTGTGGAGAAATTACGTCAAGGACAGATTGACAGAGGTATGCAAATTCAAGTTCATCACTCGGAAAGCCGTATGTTAGATGTCATTTGTCACGAATAACCCCTCAGAGCCCTGGGTGTCATCCTGTTTTTTTTTCTGCGCTGTAATAGCAGGTATAAGAACGAACATTAACTAACTAGTATGACACAAAGGTAAAACGTCTACAGCATGGGTCATGATAAGAACTTCGAATTCCTTAAGTAGGCTTAACTGGTCTTGGTCACTTACCAACCTCCTTGCTGTATCATTTGTGTTTAATTACTTTTTTATTACGATAGAATTTGAACATGATCTGAGCATCCCGTGATTAATATCCTTCTGTGATGGTTGCATAGAAGAGGATGCTTAGGCATCCCTTTCTTCGGGTCTCATGTTTGTTTTTGCACGTAGGTTCAACAGTCTATCGAGCAGGAGACCGGTGCAGAGGTACAAGTTCGACAACTGACGGGGATGAGGGGACCGGCACGGGGCCAACTGTACGCGTACGGAACAATGGACTCCATGAGACGTGTACAGGCATACATGGAACGTCTGATCCGACTCTACAACCATCGGCCACCGTACAGCTACAGAGGAAGAAGATATTACAACTTTTGAAATGATACTGATGACATTTACCCGTAAACTGTAACACTACTAAATTTAAATCACTCATGGATTGGTCTTTGTTCTTCTGCAACAGGCATGGAATTTGACAAGTGTTTCACCGGATCATCATACTTTTTTTTTTAATTTAACGTTAACGTTACATCTCCTATTTAAATGAGGCCTATTTTGCAACATTTTCTAAAAGTAAAAGGAGAACAAATCATTCCAGCAAAATGTATTAGACAGTTTCTTTCCTTGATATCAAATCGTAAAAGGATACTAGTAATCATCCCATCCTGGACGTTATGTGTCTTTTCCAACACTTGTAAGACTGCGTGGATTTCCATGCCATGGAATGATAGATACACGGAGATACAGAATTTGCTAAGGGTGGTAGGGTACCCCGGGCTGATGGAGGTCAATGACCCCGTGACACGACCGTAGTCCCTAACTAGGCTATTACACAATGTCTACGGGGTATGTTGAAGGAAGGAGGTTGAGTAGTGCAGTCGTGAAATAGTATCAAAACCCTTTGATTTTACAATAAACATATTACTTAATGAATTTATCTTCTTGTATTTTATGTCATTTATAGTTAAGCTGAACTACCATGTGAGAACGCCTGAGTGACTCAAACATTCTCCCCTTTTTGAGGAATGGAATTGTCCACATAGTCTTCGGCGCCATTTTCTTTTTTGCACAGTTGGAAAGTTGGCAGCATTATACAACATATTCCGTCCCCAGCAAAGGTTTCTCTGTTTTTCCCGGCATTGCTGATACTACCCTGCTTGAGACATGATCGCGGGACAGCATCCCGTGGTCCAGGCGCTGCTGGGAACGCTGCTGACGTGGGGCCTGACTGCACTCGGGGCCGCTCTGGTGTTCGTCTTCACAACCGGCAAGGTGTGTGTCTGAAAAACTTGGCACGAGCTACACGTCAATATTTCTCATGTTATGTCTCATAAGCAAAGTTTTTGTATGAAGGACGTCTTCCCTGACTTGCCAACACGCGGTATATCTGCTGAGCAATGAGTATGTAATATTAATTCTATTGAGTTTTTCGAAAAAGTTAAAACATGTTTCAGGAACGTTATTACCAAATTTATGCATTAACTGTTAACGTTATATCGCACGTTATATTTAGTAAGCAACGTTAACTTACATATAAAATTTATTCAAATGTTGGCATTTGACTCTGTGTCACAGTTACCGTATTTCAAGTAAAATTGTTCTTTCTGTGCCCTACTTCTATCATGCCCTAGTTTCTTACTCTTAGCTATGTGTTTTTTTTTGGGGGGGGGGGCATTTTCTATATCCTGGAGTGACGTGGCCATACTAAGTACTTTACATGTTGACCACTGAGCCATGCTGTAGTTCGCAGCTGGTGCTACTGTTTGTGTTTTTGCCTTTGATTGTGCCATTTTTCACCCAGTCATGACTATTGGCAGTGGCACTTATGATAATTGTTCCAACTCAAGTTGATAATTATTGCTCCAACTAAAAAAATTCTGAACCTTTGCATATGTTGCAAATTATGTTTGCTTGTTTGTTTTTTTATTGACAGTACCTGTGTTTTGGCCTGTATGCTGATATGGCCTTAGAGCACTATGTATGAGCCCAGTTTCAACTAAGTTTGTAAACAGCCCAGTTTTCTCTGTCTTACTCGAGGTTTACATTTTTTCCTTTTCAGAGAAAAGTTCTGGATGCCAGCCTTGGTTTTGCTGCAGGGGTAAGTCATAACGTTACTAGAGAACAAAAAGCAAACATATTACATTGTCAGAAAGTTGTTGAAAACAGAAAGCATAAACCAGAATTAAAGAACTGGCCAGGCCAGTAGAGTAACAAGACTTTTTGTAGGGAAGAGTAACTGTTGAATATAAACAAAATTTTTGACAGCAGACTCAGATGAATTTCTTTCAAGTACACGAAGTGCAATTATATGTAAACCTAGCATATCTAATTATCCGTGATTGTTATTGTTATTGCACTTAAACTCAGTAGGTCCCATCACTTTGTAACCTTGTGTATCACTAATACACTGTGTACTTCTGTATTCTGTAATCTAAAACAATCATATGGTTACATGTACACCAAGGTCAGGAAAAACATAACAGCATTAACTTGTTACTACAAAATAAAACAAAGCAGAGCAAGAGCAAAACACTGCTTTCCCAACGGTATATCATGTGTCTGGTGTTCCATTTTCAGGTGATGCTTGCTGCTTCCTACTGGTCTCTGTTGTCTCCTGCTATAGAGATGGCTGAACAGTCCCAGACCTATGGGATACATGGGGAGTTTGCCTTCATTCCTGTGTCCATTGGTTTTGCCCTAGGAGCAGTGTTTGTCTACATGTCTGATGTCTTCCTCCCCTACTTGGTAATTACTTTGTTACTTTATCTTTAGAAGGTGTTTTTTGTCCCCTGTAACATAGACATATTTTTTTTCTTTTTGAGTAAAAAATTATGTTGTTCCCATATTGCATCAAGGGACTGTGTATTGTGTTTTACATAGAGTTATTGGTGATATACAATATTTGCCTTGCATAGGGTGTGTCATCCCCAAATGTTGCCCTGGCATTGTCATCAGAAGAAAAATTCCATGCAGAGGAAGGAGACTTCACAACTGTCACTGCAGAACCTGCACAGGAATCTTCATTTTCTATTGGTTTGTGCTGAATTGTGTAGTTGTCTATCTATAGATTGTTTACTAGTACAATGTATTGTAAGTTAAATAAATAATACCTTTCCATGCCTGGTTTACGTATTACTAGATGAATGCTGAATGACTTGTTCTGTCAATATGTATTGAATTGTATGTAAGTTTGAATTATAAATATCAAAATTTGATAGACTAATGAACTAACTACTAGGTTATCTGAAAATAGACGTCAGCTTCTCCAAGTTAACTATCACTAGTGTTACATATCATTCTGTTAGCCAAAACTGCTTTCTAAATCTGTCATGTTCTCACTCACGAACTTGAAGCAAGAATTTTATCTTTACCATATTCTTTCTTCATTGAACAGAAAATGGTGAAGCTTTGTCTTCAAAGACCCCAAAGGGCCCGATGCACAGAAGGAAGGCCTCCGGGTCCCACAAGGTGGCCCTCAGCACAGGGGAGGAGGAAGAGACATCATCCCTTAATGATGAGAAAAAAGCTCGCCAAGCTTCCATGAGTTGGAAAAGAATAATGTTGTTGATCATTGCTATCACTGTTCATAACATTCCAGGTGTGTGGAAAAAGAAGATTGATTTCTTATCTTGCTCATCTTCCTACACCATATATATTCACAAATGATATCAAGTAAAATGTTACATCAATGTTGTATACTGACATGTAGAGACAATCTGGACCTATGAAGTAGTACTAGGGCACTATAGTTATTTAGAATAGCAAAGTGAGTGAGTGAGTGAGTGAGTGAGTGAGTGAGTGAGTGAGTGAGTGAGTGAGTGAGTGAGTGAGTGAGTGAGAGTGATATATCAATGACTATGACTGAATTTTGCATAATTGAAATAGACTACATGTGTACATATCTGCACCAAAATGACACCATGACTCATCATTTTGTAGAGGGACTTGCAGTTGGTGTTGGCTTTGCTGCTGTTGGTAAAACACATGCTGCATCATTTGAAAAAGCCAGGTGAGGATTAGGTAATGTTTTATATTTTACCTGCCTCACTCAAATCATTTATTTTGTATTCTCAGTACATCTAGCTGGTCACCATTCAGAGCTTGGTGGTGTAAAAATGTGACAAACACATCGCATTTCGCAGTAGAAGCCAATATTCCACCTTCCATATGCCACCTTCAGTAGTTTCATCATCCTTAAGGATTTTACGGTGCATTGTTTTAAATTTGTTTGTGCCAGTTTAAAAGCTGGTTTTTAGAACAAAGTGTTTTCTGTTTGCTAGGAACCTGGCATGGGGAATTGGAATACAAAATTTCCCAGAAGGCCTTGCTGTAAGTTTACCCCTGAGGGGTTCTGGGATGTCTGTATGGAAAAGCTTCTGGTAAGTGTCTGAAAAGTTGTCGATCAATTTTAGAAATGCAAGAGAGCACCATACTTCTTAATAGCTTCACTGTAAGTGATGAGATGGAAGAGGAATTCTGTTTGAATGCAATGTTCCAAAGGTATACAGGTGTCTGCATCAGAAATAGAAATTTTTAAACTATATATAATTGTTGCAATGAAGTTGGTCTGTATGTAGTATTGTATATACATTTTATGGTGAAGTTTCCCCCAGTTGGCACTATCACTTATAGAAAGAAAAGCACAGAAATATGAAAACTTCTGAAAAGTAAACAAGTTCATCAGTTGTGATACCTGCCTATTATGTGACTGACTGCTAGCTTGTGTGCACAGGTATGGCCAGCTGAGTGGGATGGTGGAGCCTCTAGCAGGAGTGTTTGGTGCAGTTGCCATGGTAATAGCAGAGCCCCTCCTCCCATATGCCCTGGCCTTTGCAGCAGGTGCCATGGTGTATGTTGTTGTAGATGACATTGTTCCAGAGGCAAACACAAGGTGAGAATGACCATTAGGCCTGTATGTGGCTTTGGATCAAATAACCATGTTTGCATGCTGATGATATACTTATGTTTTATGTCATATGTCATACCTTGGCCATGATAACTTTGATACTTGTGTTCAAACCCATGTGATAACTTGTGGTAGCACACCGGGTTCCAAATGTTCCATCTAACATGTTTTGGATGTGCTTAGTGTGCTGCTTTCGAAAGTTTCAATACCTGATTCAGAGGTCGGAATTTATGTTGTTACAATTTTTTGTTCAGGGATACCAAACTTGGCACATGTCCAATTGAAATGTATGCTTTCTCAGGTGGGAATGACATAAGTAGATAAAAAAAATAGATTAAAGAGATTGTAATAAATAAAAAACGATTTTTGTTGTCTTTACTCTGCAGTGGCAATGCCAAACTGGCATCATGGGGGTGCATCGTGGGATTCATCATCATGATGTCATTGGACGTCGGTCTAGGCTGATGTCAGTAACTGACAAATAAACTACTAAGTATTATGTATGAAGGGCTTGTACTTCCTCAGGTAACTGGTAGGATGGAGTCTGAACCAGCAAAATGGTAGAACGTAAGTGTGACACATGGGCTTGTCCTGCTACATTGGCCACGTGTGTACAACAAACTGTTCTCTGTCCCAAAGTTGGGGCCCTTGTACTGACTTTACTCTACAGTGGTCATAGTGAAGAAAGAATTACAGTATTGAAGGCTTTCAAAGTGTATTGTGACATGATATGATGCCAACTTTGCTGTAATTCTTTTTATGCCTCCTTGTCTTTGTGACAAACAATTCTAACTGTGCTTTGGTAGGCTAGCTTGAATATCATAACAATTTGTTGATATTTTCTATACGTGTAATCTGTACAGAAAATATTAGCAATGAGTGCCCAAGTGTTGGCAAGACTTGATTACTTTTTATTAGACTTTAAGATGCAATATCAAATGTGACTTAAATTCGTAAGTTTGCTGATGTAGAGTATAACTACAAGAAAATTATAATTTGTGACAAAACAAATGCAATACAAGCGTATAATGGTAATCATGAAAATATTTTGAAATGAATAAGTGACATATATATATAGAGAGAGAGAGAGATAGTCGCAAGTCTTTGAAATATGTTCAAAGTCTACTTTTTATCGTATTTGTAGCTGCTGATTAAATTTAAACATATCCTAGACAAATTCAATAACTTGTCTTCCAGTCTTTATTACTTATACATGTACATATATTTTGAGAGTAGAAAAGTCCTAAAACTCAATTGGTCAAAGATCATTGTAATATTTTAGTACCTCTCAAACCACATAACAAGTTACCAGTAAGACAAACTTCTTACTAGTACAAGTGTGTACTGTTTATGATCGGAACATGTTGCAGTCTTCCAGGTATCTTGTACTCTGATTGACACATGTAACTCTGTTTTAATCAAAGTATGAAGCCCGCCATTATTTATGTATAGCGCCACATCGTCTTTGGTTTATAGGGACATCAGTGAAGGTACCCAAACGGCTGCAGCTTTAGGTCTCAAAAGTAAAAATAAACTGTCAAATCATTGAAACTGTCTGCAATTTAAAGTTATCTATCCTACCGAATCCCCCATCTTCACTCTAAACCATTCTAAAGTGTAGGTTTCAGCAGCCGCAGTAAGGTAAATAAAGACCAACAAAGCCCGGGCTCCACATTCCAGCGCGCCGCTGGTACACCCGGTGGCATCGACCGATTGTTCTCCCGGAGCCCAACAATTTCTTCTGACGTCTGTCTGTCCTGTATGACGTGCGGACAGACAAACCTCCCTTTGAGGAGTGCGCTTTGCGTGCGACAAAGTCCACTTTTAAGGCGGGAGTTAATTTTGCCATCAGGGGAGTTTTAATTGTGTGGCTGCTGTATGGTATTGTTGTCAGCCCCCAATAGTCACAAACAAAGGCCTAGTCACGGAGCCCGAGCGTCGCGTGAGTCGCGCGAATTTTTGCCTGGCTCGTCTCTTTGTTTTGGCAACGTATTTTGTTCAAGTAGCGTCTTGATCAGTCGGCACGCAAATATTTTGCTTTTTTCGGATCTGGAGAGCTCCCGAAAACCATTGAAAAAGTTGGATGTTTCTGGGCTGTCCCCGGGGAAGGATGTGAACCTTGCGTCTCGCGGGTACTGTGACGGGATCGTACACTGCTGAAGGGATTTGCTCACTTGTTTGGGGTCGCGACGTGCTGAGCGGGCCAAGATTTGGCAACGTCGCGCTGTTCTTCACGGATGTAACGGCAGTTGTGGTGGCTCTGGACAGTTTCCCGAGTGAAAGGACCCAGAAATACTGCCAGGTTTGTGAAGTTTTCTAGGAACAGGCAGTTCAGACGTATTTTATTCAGTTAGAACCAGGTATATGTGTAAAGCTAGGGCGTCGGGGACAAGGCAGCAGGCCGGTCTTTAGAAGTAGGTCGCTCGTCGACCCTGACGGCACCGGATTGGAATGTGGCGACTACTTCATAGGGAAAGACTCGGTAAAGTGGGTTTTGAGTGTCCGTAGCCGTACACGCAAGTTTGGGTGCCCGTGTGTTTTTATCCTACCTTACAAACCGTCTTGCCCGTAGTATGAATGGAGCGGTTGTTCTCGCTGTGATTGAGTTATGTGGCGCATACCGAGGGAGTCAAGCGTCTGGGGTCGACTCACCCCAAGGGCACTCTGCAGGGCACAATCATCTGGCTCGTTAGTAGGTCTTCATTAGGGGTCAACGTATGATTTCCTCTTCACACGAACATGCCCGGTATAACAGTTCCTACCACAATACCCACTATTGATAAGGTATACATAATCTACTCTTACTTTACTTAGATTACTGTTTGAAGACTAGAGGCAATTACGTCCTTTATCCTTTGGAAAAACTTGGGTTTATCTTTAGAAGCTCTTGGTCTTGGATGTCACTAGAGTCTATAATGGGATTCACCCATTGGAGTTTTTCGATGGCCGAATAACCTACGAAAAACCTAGCGGGTTGTCTCAAGAATTTGATTTTGCTACTTTATTCAGTGCTTTTCAATATTTTGCTAATTGAATGGACTAAATTTTGGAGTTATAATCGTTAACTTTGAATAGCTGAGTAGCCTACTAAACGTCATAAAGGATTTATGTGCTTCTGTATGACATTATCCATTGGAGCAGAATAATGTAAATATGTTACACCACAAGATAAGAGTACTCTGTACTTTCCCTTGTCAAAGTTGTGTTTGTAATATAATGGGACATTTCCTTTACATGTCTGCAAATTGATTGTTCACTATAAGTGTAACACAACCAATGGACGCTACGAACTTGTTTTGTTAGAAAGACATTACAGAAACTGAAGTTCGTCGTCGAGGACATCATCAGATACCGACCCTGGAAGCTAGAATACCCGAAGTATCGAACCAAATAGATAAGGGGTTCACCACGTTGGCCCAGTCCGGTTCAGTGGCTGTCAGGTGTTGGTTGTCAGGTCATTAACCGTCAACAGGATAAGCCGATTATTAGGTGGGGGACATGACGGTGGTTTTGATTGACGTGCGAGTACAGATCACCGGTTGGCCAATCGCCACAAACGCCACAAACTTGGAGGCTAATATTTATCATCAGTTGGCGACCTTCGCATTGAAGCTACCGGTGTCATTGGGTGGGAATCAATGTGTAATTGAGCGTCTCATATTATATATAATATACTCGTGTCAAATACGTGACTAAGAAAAATATCATGAAGCTTAAAGGTGTTACAGATTTTTAACAGCAGGTTCCAGAGAAACACCTGGTAATTTCCAGTCTTCGGCGGAAGAGTATCGTTTATTGCCGGGTAAACATATCTATACAGTATCGGGAAGGTGCGGTAAGGTATCACACAGGCGATCCGATGGCAGTCGGCGGGATTTTCCGCTGTGTTGGCGCTTGTGTTGTCTGTAGTGGCGTGTCCAGGATTCAGGAGTGGGGATGGGATGTTTACGTTAGGGGATTTTAGTCTTTTTTTCCAAGGATGAGGAGCGGGACTTGGCTGGCAGTACTTCCCCAGGTATAAATGTGTTGAGAAACCTATTAGAAATGCAGCAGTTGACATCTCAGAGAGTGGAAGATGATCGAGAAAAAAAATCACAGAAGATGAGGCGGAGATAGATGGGAGTGTGGCACCCTTCCCCAACGCGCTATTCACTGCAAAAGTCTGCCTTGTTCCAGTGCTCTTGACATTCCGGGGTGCTAGCGAACCACAGAGGAGAAGGCCCAAGTGGATTCGAGCACAGAAAAGAATTCTTTGAAGTGTCGCTACGATGTTGGACAGCACGCAGCTATTTGCCCGACAGTACTGTTTCGAATGTTTGACTAATTTCATTGTTTGTCTTTCCGCACTACAATAAACAATAGGCCTCTTGTGTCCGCGCTTTTGGCGCGAAACTCAACCCCAACTTTCGACCAATCACAGGGCAGCTAAGAAGTGGACATTGATCTTGTTTTTTATGCGGCATTCTGAGGCCGCCTTGTTTACGGTGAGCCCTAGATCTGGGATAAAAACATATTAACAGACCTCTAGCATAATGGGATTTGAACTGCGTACGTGTGTTCTAGCCCCCTTGTTCGCCCGTCATTTTCTGACCGTGATCATGGCATCACGTTGACGTATAAATTTAATATAGACACGACGTGTTCGGCTGTGGCTGACCGGTTGCGATTTGATGATGACTGCAAAATAAGGACAAAATAAATCCAAATGAATGTCTGACTTCATATGACTCAGAAAACAACAAAACGTGAAGTTTCATATCGACTTGTCAAACAACCATATTTCGCATGTCTGAAGCAATTGTCTTCAACATTTTCGATCTCCATATAATGTATTGTCCATTCTACTGTCTGAATCATGGATCACATTGTCTTTTCTTGGCGAGAAACTAGTCCACAAGAATTAGTCCCGTCTGTCCAACTCAGAACCATGAAATACATCCTTTCTTCAGTGGAACAGTGCTGCCCTTTACTTGCCCAGCCGCATCGCCCCAAGATGCCGAAACACGATACCAAAAACATTTACAAAGAGCACTGGGGACCGGGGAGTGTGGAAAATGTTATCAACCTTGTATCACACGCTTGTATCAAAGAACTCTTTGACTGGGCAGTCTGAGTACACGGCTTGTTTAGCCCGGGACAATGGACTCTTCACAACGTGCGGAAAGATCTGCTTTTCCGCATTTTTACCGTTCATGAAAACGGACTGGAGTGGTTGTTGTTTGGTATGTCGATGCGCTTGGGACCAAGTGTAAGTTCAGAAATGCTGAATCATGGCGTTGTACAACGTGTGGCAGTGTTGACTCGGGTGGGAGGGGGCGAGCGGGAGGGCCTACAGCCGGGGAGGGCCAACAAGGCCTATTCATCAGGCCCCACTGACAGATCCTTTATTTCTTATCGTGGGGCGGGAATGCTTGGAATGTAGGTAATGTCAATGTTTGCCTGCCCTGACCAATGGCGGGGCAGAACTGGCCGGCTGGAGCCCCAGTGGGGGCGTGGCCTCGTGTCACAAAGAAATTCTCTAGGCAAACAGAGACACAAGTCCCTTGTTCTCTTCCACAATAAACGCTATGTCCTTGATGCCAACGTTCGCAGTCGGTCGGAGGTTACAGATCAACCTGCATGTTGTAACCGTGCAGGATTTATGCTCAGAAGTTCCTGTTTGCTACATTCAGAGAGGATCATATCGGAATATCTGCAGTCCAAGACTGATCGCAGAGTTCATTTGGATTTATCGAGCTCCCTTGGATGCAGAAAAGTTGGCTGGATGTGTGGAATGCGGACCTTGGCTACCATGTGTGTTTGCGAGTGGCACGGGACAACGTTTGCGCGCCGAGGGGAAGAACAAAGCAGCGATGTTGACCAGTGGCAAAACAGGCCCGTGCTGGACTCTTGTTTTTCTCTGCCTTCTGTTTGAGTTGTTTGCAATGCCATAATTCTGTCTGGACACCGAGCTAGACAGAAAAAGAAGTCTTGCAGTGTTTGGTAAGCCACGAATATCCCAGGCGATAAAAGTAAGTCGTTGCAAAAGTTGTTGCTGATTGATGTAACGGTGCCGATATCACATCCGCTGCACTGCATTAGGCTCAAGGTCAGATATGATGTGTTACCTTGGGCACCTGCATGCCGACCTTGACACTTACGTGTCGTTAACATGACATAACTTCATAGCGGAATAATTATTCATCATTTCCTGTCATTGATACTGCTGAGTGGAGATAGCATCTTTTCCAAGTTATGTGCAGCAACTTGTAGTTGCTCTGGGCAAATAATATTTTATGTCAGGTGTTTTAAAAGTGTGGTGTGTTCAGGCCTTTCCCTTCTGATATTTAGTCATAAGAAGAGGTCTGATAGAGCTGTTTTGACGTCCCTGTCACATCTGGCCATTTGGCTGGCTTACATGTGTCCATGTGCTAATCTTTATGGTAAACATCAGAGATCTGTACAGTGTCAGGCCTGCCAAGTCTAGATTGCTGTATACAGAATGTGGGGAGAACATCCTCCTGTAATGGCAGTTTGATGA